TGAAATTGTTTAAAAAAGCTGAAAAGCGTGTGAGAAAATCTTCAAAGCTTAAAAAGTTTTGAATCTCAAAAAAAACTTAAAAGCTCAAAAAAGCTGTAAACCTCAAAAGCCTAAAAGCTCAAAAGATTTTAAAAAAAATTTGGGTAATAAAAAACTGCCCAAATTGAAACAAAATTGTATAATTTAAAACTGAGAACCTGCAAAACATAATAAACCAAACTGAAAATTGGTTTAACAAATGGAGATTAAAACCAAATCCAAACAAGTAAGTTCGTTATATTCAACCACAAAATTAACCCTCAGAGTCCACATTTGATACTATACAGGGTGTTCCTTAATATCATGTACAAACAAAAGGGGGTGATTCTTTGGCTTATTTTATGAATTAAAGTTCCTATAAACATGGGCCCGCAAACGCTTCGTTACCGATCTACAGGGTGTTAAAGTTTGGAGATTTTTTTAGTTTTTATCTTATAACTTCTGCAGTTTTTGAGATATTTGGCCCAAATTCGGAATATAGGTTGGGATATAAGGCTTACATCATTGGGCATGTTTAAAAGAGTACACCATTACAACAATTGTTGTAAGGTAATTTTCTAGTTTTTCTAAATATTTAAGTTTTTTGTATTAAAATAAATCATTGTAACCAAAACCGTTTTGTTTCTAATAAGAAGTATAGAAATATTATTTTAAAAATAAATAAAAATAAATTATTAATAAAGCCAACCAGATTATTTTAGAAATTTGAATTTCATCTCGCAAATGACAACAACTTGTGTTATATTTTTTTTCTCGATAATGGTCGCAAATACGAAAAAACTTTAGGTTACCAAAAAGTTTTTAAACAAAACAGAAAATTTATTTTGTATTTTAAAATCTACCAGCAGCGCACCATAAAAAAGTTCTTGGGAAAAAAGGGGAGCATGACATACAAAAAAGTATCGCCCTGTAGATTCTTATAACCATTTGGCATGCCCAATGATGTAAGCCTTATAGCCTAACCTATATTCCGAATTTGGGCCAAATATCTCAAAAACTGCAGAAGTTATAAGATAAAAACTAAAAAAATCTCCAAACTTTAACACCCTGTAGATCGGTAACGAAGCGTTTGCGGGCCCATGTTTATAGGAACTTTAATTCATAAAATAAGCCAAAGAATCACCCCCTTTTGTTTGTACATGATATTAAGGAACACCCTGTATAATCAACGTATTTCACCCGCAAACAACACTACATACCTGGGCCTACAGCTAGATAACAAACTTAATCTTAATCTCCATACCAAAACGGCAAAACAAAGAACAGTCGCAAGAGCCAAACTATTTACAGGACTAACCAACAGATGGGGTGGAGTAATATGAAAACTGCAGCTATCGTGTACAAAGCCCCCTTCTAGAATACTGCCACCCAGTTTTACTAAACTGTCGAAAACCAGCCCTAAATAATATTGCAACTGCGGAAACAACAGCTCTAAGAACAATCTCCAAACTCCGCCATCCCCTAAAACCTCTTCACAATCCTCCCAATGGCCTTCTTTATCAAACATTAAAAATCAAAGTTCCAATTCTTGAAAGATTAAAAAATCTTTCAACTAAGTTTGCTGCACTGAAAAAAAATATTCTTGATTCAAAACAATCTTTGTCTCATATATAACGAAGAGAATATATTCTTTAAAATAGTAAAGTATTTTCTTAATTCACGTTGATTTACTTCAAGAATCTTTTCTTAATGTTCTTACATGTTCTTACATTAAGAAAAGATTCTTGAAGTAAATCAACGTGAATTAAGAAAATACTTAACTATTTTAAAGAATATATTCTCTTCGTTATGAGACAAAGATTGTTTTGAATCAAGAATATTTTTTTTCAGTGTGCTAAGGATCACAACATTGAGATACTATCACAATTATGCATCACCAGAGAAGTCGATGAAAATGCCACAAAATTTCCGGAAAATACAATATTGGAAATACAATTGTCTAATAATAATTAGTTTTTTTTTTTGTTTTTTTGTATCACTTAAAGTAGTTTGTAACAGGCTGAAGGACCCTGGTCGATGGCCTTTTGTATATTTTGTATTATATGTTCTGTATACAATATATTGTACTGAATATGCAATAAAAACTTTATTTATTTATTTATTTATTTAAAACTGCCTTTCATTTTATTTATTTAAAACATTGTTTTGGGTAATTGAAAAGCACCCAAATTTGAACAAAATTTAAACTTTCTCCTTAATTTTTTTATAAAAAAACGATTAGATGTGATTTATTGAGTATTGATTATTTACAATGAAACGAATTTAATTATTTTACCCATTTATACCTAAAAATTTATTTACTTGCATTGACTTACTTTTTACATCACTTGTATTTCTTATTTTTAAACTGTTTAGATTAAACATACCTGAAACAAAAAACATTATTAATAATTGACTATTTAATTTAATTGTGTATAACCTAAAAGCACTTTGAAAGTTATTAAGTAATCTAGTATAGAATTTTAATAAGCGGCAAAATAATAAAAAATAGGCCTAAAATGGGATTTCCCTTGGAAAACGCCCTTCATGTATGAGTAACTTTCAATAAAAATGTCAATAATTTGTTGAATTGTAATAATTTTAATGGCCACTACTTCCCGTTTTTGTAGCAGAACAAACGATTTAAAATATTATTATGTGGATGTAGATTCAATGTCGTTTAAGTCTTTTGTCGCGTAATTGTAAATTAAAAACTCATAGAATAAAAAAACGTTTTATATATAACACGTCATTTTAACTATTGATAGTTTAGTTTTCTTGTGACCAGAAACATGTGTATTTTTTTAATTTCTATTTTGTTATTGCCTATAGGCCATACTATTGGTCAGTTGGTATTACCCACCGCAACAGGAACTGGAATTTCTTCCACGGGGGTTCGCACAACTGCAACAGGATTATCTTATACTTGTGTTCTACCAGGAACATGTCCTTCGTCAACAACCAACAGTACAAATACGATTGATCCCAGAATAGTGGTGCCGGTAGGAAACACAATTTTATTCAACACCTATTTCATTTCTTAACTTGACAGCTATCAGATTTCAAATAAAATTTGCTTTAAATTCCTTGTGCTAGTTGAATAAAATATTGTGTGCTGAAATGCTATTTCGCCCACTAGTGGAAGAGGTAAGTTTCACTCACTAGTGGGAAAAGTAAAATTTCGCCCATCATTTAAAGATAAGAAATGAAATGGGTGTTGAATAAACAACTATGTTCACAAATTTAGTAAGTACCTAGTCAAATTTAACCTACTTTCACCTGAGGGGGTAAACCACTCTAAAATCAGCGTTATCAGTGTAAAGACGTTGTGCTTTAAACATTTTTTATTATTCAACTCTTATATAAGCGTACAATCTATGTCAATAGGAAAAAATCTGTACCAATAGGAAATTTCTCCTATACGCGTTGCGTATGACTACCCTTGTGATTTTTTTAGCAGTTAATTCGTGTGCGATTTTTAATTTTTTTTAAATTAGTGGGTTACTCCTTGCTTCCATGCGACCAACTTAGAAAAAATTTTGAACACACTTTTGGTGCGGGTGATAATACAATTTAAGGAGTATTCTATTGTAATTTATCCAAGATGTCGAATAACCTTTTTCTTTACAACCCCCTTGATATGGCTATCAAATGAAATTATTTGACGAGTAGAAAGGTGAGTAACGTCATAATAAAAAAATAAGGATCGATGATGCGGATGCAAAGTATCCTTGTGGATTGGATTCTCTCCATGGTCCATGGTGAAACTTCTAACCTTTTATATCTATGTTACTGAACACGAATAACAGCAAAATTTAATATTTTGCAGTGGCGTCACCCAAAAACAAAAAATCCACGACAATTTATAATTTTCAGGATACGTAATACATCAAAACAAATGATCCCAAAAAACATATTTGTCATTTTTTGTCTAATTTTTACTATCACTATACAAGGTGTCCCTAAACTTAGTGGCATAAATTTAGGAGCAGATTAAGCAAGTCAAAATAAGACGAAAATCTAAATAAATATTTTTCCTAATTACGTATGTTTAAAAGATACAGGGTGATAAAGTGTTACTTATCATATCAGTTTTTTTAATAATTTCTAATATGGTAGACTTGGAAAGGTGATATTTTGCAAACAGTCACTTACTACCAAAACACATATTCACACATAATTACAATTGTTCAAGTGAACACAGTGTCGTAGAAACAGGGGTTGCTTAAGCTTATTGTCCCATACAAACTTTAAGGTTAGGTTTTTATACCATTTGATGCAATTTTTCGATTACTTAGTTCGGCTACTATTAAAAAGGTGTACCTCTCAAACTTCGATAAAATAAACAGTTTCCGAGATATTCGAGATTACAATAATTGTTATATCGCATTAAAGGACTAAAAGGTATATAAAAACAAATTTTTTAATTAAAAAAAACTACATTTTTTTAATGTGACGGTCAAGGCAAAAATTCGCGAGGCTAATGGAATGCCCTATTTAGTTTTTTTTTTAATTAAAAAATAAAAATTTTTATCATATACCTTACCTTACCCCCTATTAATTAATGCGATATAACCATTATTGTAATCTCGAATATCTCGGAAACGATTTTTTCGAAGTTTGAGAGGTACATCTTTTTAATGGTAGCCGAACTGTGTAATCTAAAAATTGCATCAAATGTTATAAAAATCTAACCTCAAAGTTTGTATGGGACAATAAGCTTAAAGCAACCCCCGTTTCTACGACACTGTGTTCACTCAAACAATTATAATTATGTGTGGTTTGGTAGTAAGTGACTGTTCGCAAAATATCACCTTTCCAAGACTACCATAGTAGAGGTTATGTTAAAAAAACTGATATGATAAGTAACACTTTATCACTCTGTATCTTGGAAACATAAGTACTTAGGAAAAATATTTATAAGGGTTTTCGTCTTATTTTGACTTGTTCAATCTTTTCCTAAATTTATGCCAATAAGTTTAGGGACACCTTGTATATCAAACTATGCTTTTAGGATCAGTCCAGTCAACTTTGTCCCTCCGGATTTATACCATGTTTTACCATAAACACGGGTTGCGGAACGCGTTCCATAACTCCATCGAATACAAACAATGGATATGCCGATGCTGGAGCATATCCATGGCAGGCATATTTAAGAAACACTACTCATTCCTTTGCCGGAAGTGGAGTTCTCATTGATAGTTATCATGTCATAACTGCTGCTCATAAAGTTGTTCAAAACGTGTAAGAAATTAAGTCAAAAAAAAATATTTAACATTTCTAATAAAATAATTATTTCAGGGTTACACCATCAGCTATAACAGTTTTAATGGGAGTGTGGAATCCATCTTTAACAATTAACACTGTATCCAGTACAGTGGCTAAAATTGAGGTGCATCCCTTCTTTAATCCACTTACATTAAAAAACGATATAGCTGTCTTAAGACTGGTAACACCGATGACACGTTCTGCTTATATTAACACAGCTTGTATGCCCCTATCTGGATCAACATCTGCCACATTTGTGGGCCAACGGTAATAAGTCAAATATTTTATTCATGATCAAGGTCATCATGGTCAACCTACCAAGTCTAAAAAACTCCATAATAAGCATATAAACAAAATATTACATTTCGAAAAATAAATTACCTAATTACATATACCTAAATATTAAAATTTAGAATTCCAGTTTATTAATGTATTATTATTATAATAAATTAATGTTTTTATTTCTAGATGTGTGGTGTCTGGTTGGGGCCAAACTTCATTCTTTATAAACAATGCCCCAACAAACTTAATGAAACAAGTTTTCGTTAACGTAGTAGATTATACAACTTGCAGAACATCTTTTAGTGCAGCCAACTTACTAAGCACAAATGTTGACACATACTTGGATGGCAACGGAGAAATTTGTGCTGGAGGTGAATCTCAAAAAGACGCTTGTTCTGTAAGGCCAATTGTATACCCAGTGGGTATTCCCCACTTTTTAAACATTGTTAAAACATTTTAAGTTAACTATAAATTAGTTAGTATTTTTAATTTCAGCAAGATGGCGGTTCGCCTTTGGTATGTCAGGATACTTCTGGGGTGTATAGAGTTGCAGGGTTGGTGATATGGGGTAAAAACTGTGGCCAGCCTGGTGTCTATGGGGTCTACGTTAGTATTCCCGCCTATTACAATTGGATTGAAACTAAAATTCAAACTTTAAATGCCGAATTCGGATAAAAATATTTTTAATATTTATGCGTTATTAACTTTTTTTGGGACATTGTTGTATATTGTACAGGATTTCTTGCATAAAAATTAAAAACAAATATTCTATAAACTAGTTTTCAAAAACTCTTTGTTTCCAAAATACAGATCCCGATTTTCTTTAATCTTTGAGTTTGTTTATAAAATAATGTTTGGCTGTTGATATTTATTCTGGTGGCGTCCTGGGGGCATCGCATCTGGGACTTTTAGGAAGAAATATGACACGCCAATGATTTTAGTTTTTCTTGATATTTGTTTCTAATAAAAAAATTAAATAACTTTCTTTATTTCTATACTGTTTTAGGCATCTCGTTTCGTTTGTAAGAAAAAAAGTTTTGAAACATGCTCAAAATGTTAGAATAGTTAAAAATGTAAAATAAAATAAAACATTTAAGTTAGTTATATTTTTATTGTTTTTGTTGGTTTATAGAAAGTTTTTTTAATTTCATGCAAGGAATCTTATTCTAAATTTGTTCGCAATATTATTGAATTACTGTAAATTTGTATTTTTTTAATAAATAATAATCGAAAGGATATATTGATTTCTTTAAAATATAAAATAATCAAAGAGATTAGTAAATGGACATGTTAAGTAACATTTTCCTGCAAAGCAAAAATGTGGTAACCTTTATTACTTAATTTGTTATGTGCCACCTTTTGCTTATCACGACAGAGTCACTAACTAAGCTCTTCAATAACAATGAATATAGAAACAAAATAAAGGTGTTTTTCTACAACGAAAATGACTCAATATTCACGTTGTTAGGCCGATTTCAATATTTACTGTAATTTGAACCAACCAGGTTTTAAATTGGGAAAAAAAAGTGATTGGAACTATCTAACCGATGTCAGATCTTTTTATATTATTAATAAAAATGACTTTATTGCAGCAGAAAAAGCAAAGTACACTCGACATAATGGGCATTATTCACTCGTATAATAATAACAATTTTAAGTGCATACAAGGTTAAGACAAGCTAAAGGATACATAACAAAGTTTTAGATATGTTTTTTCGTTTAAGTTTTTGTCAGATTTAAGCGAGTTTTTCAACAGATATTATTTTAAACCCTTACCAAATGAAAACATCTCACAAATAAAAAAGTCGTTTAAGTTTTTGTCAGATTTAAACAAGTTTTTAACAAAATTTATTTTAAACCCTTACTAAACGAATACATCTGACAAATAAAAAAAGTCGTCCCAATTTTTGCATAAGTTTTTTAATATCACTGTCTTGTTTTTCCATTCCCGAACAAAATAGTATATTCTGTAACAAGTTTGGAATATGGCATATTTCGCTCGAGTGAAAAGATTGTCACCCGAGCCGAAGGCGAGTTTCACGGTTTTACAAAAGCGGAATATGCTATTCCAAATGTGTTTCAGACTATACTTTTTTTACGTTTCTTAAAAATACCATAGAGAAATAATTTAATTGGGAGATTGTTATCCGGTGAAAGAATGAATTTAATCTATAACACTTTAAGAAATAGTTCAGGAGAGTTACCTATAGTTAAGGAGATTGCACCGGTACCCAAATTGAACCTTATAGCTAATTTCTGCAAATGAGCATTTCCGCTCCACCTATTTATGAAAATATAAAGTTTAGTGCCGGTCGTGTTTTTTGTACTTCTGTTGTAATTTTTCTACCATATTATTTAGTGAATATTTCCAAAGCAGATAGCGGTAAGCATTCTTCTTTCCGTAAACGTTTTTAACATACTTTTAGTAATACTTTCCTATATTTTCGACCTAAAATTACTGCTTATTATAAAACTGTGGTAAAAAAATTAAACTGTTCATTATTGCCTATTTTGAACCGATTCACGTTTCCTATATTGAACCGGTTCAATTTATAATACCTAACTGTTTCAATTTATGATACTTGTTCCAGAAGATGTCCAAGCGGGGAAAATATGGACTCTGGACAGAACATAACATGGATATGACAGAGCATACAAAGAAGGCCAAGTAGGTTTAAACGAATGTGCCCGAAGGTACAATATCAATAAATATACCCTTCTTAGGCATGTGAGAGGCATTAACAAACTAGCTAAAGATAACTAAAAAAAAAACTAGGAACCAAATGTGTTTTTTCATCCGAAACTGAAAATGTTCTTGTGAAACATATTATTCAGTTTAAAGAAATGCTTTATGGCTTCACCATATCAGACATAAGAAGTTGGCAGAAAAACACAAATTGACCCATCCTTTCAATCAAAAAAAAAAATAGCTGGTAAAAAATGGTTCTATTGATTTATGCGCAGACACCCAGAACTGACAGTTCGTCAGCCTGAGTCCACATCGCTTGCCAGAGCTCGAGGTTTTCAAAGAGAATTAGTTATGAAGTTTTTTGATATTCTAGAAACACTTGTTGACAAATATGAAATTACAGCGAACATAATATTTAACGTTGACGAATCCGGCTATACAACTGTTCAAAAGAAAATGCAGAAGGTTGTATTGCTAAAAGAAAAATGGCAAGTTAGCGGAATCGCCAGTGGAGAAAGAGGCGTTAATACTACAATAGTTTGCTGTTGCAATGCTGCAGGTCTCTACATTCCACCAATGCTAATATTTAAAAGAAAGCGCTTTGCACCTGAACTTGCACAAGGTGCTCCAACGGGCAGTCTTACTGAAATTTCAGATACTGGCTATATCAATAGCGATCTGTTTGTCAAGTGGCTTAAACATTTTCATGGTGTGGTTAAGTCAAGTCAAGACTTACTAGATGGGCATTCAACGCACAGCAAGAATCTGGAGGCTATAGAGTTTGCCCGTAAAAACCATATTCATCTTTTACAATTACCTATTCATACAACGCATCGTTTGCAGCCGCTCGATGTTAGTTTTTTTAAGCCGATGCAAAATTACTATGTTCAGGAACAAGATTCATTGCTGCGAGCTCACGTTGGACAGCCGATAAGAGTCTATGATGTGGCTGAATTATTAGGTAAGGCTTATGGAAAGCCCGCTACTGTGGGCATAAGTGAAAATGCTTTTAGAGGAGCAGGAGTATGGCCCCCAAATTGAAATAGGTTTGGTGACCATCTATTTTCTCCCTCTACTGCAATAGAGCCGACAGATGAAAGCCACGAAGATGGTGTTACCCTTACAGAACCCAGTAAGCCTAAACGTGCTGAAGATTCTATCCTTCCTCATAAACCTAGCAGCAGTTCAACCAGATACCACTTCAGCATGTGTACCAGGAGTTGCTAGCGACTCTAGGTGAATACTAGTTACTGGATACAAAATCATAATTGGGCAATAAAGTATCAAAATTTTGATGTATAACATCTGCTTACTTTTTACTTTATAGTGGTTTTTCCAAAAGTGGTTCAATATGGGCAACTATCCCTATATGTAATTCCACATTAAAATGATATTAAAACGGTCATATTCATATATTATACAAAATTAAATCAAATAGAAAATATTATATGCAAGCATCAATAAAATACGTTTCGTTTTGGTTCTGTTCGCGCCAGTTTTCTATTGTCAGAAGCGCCATCGGGTTCTCTTCGGCCGGCTTCGTGAAACTTTATATCACTGTTGCAAAAGCACCATATTTGTGTATAATTTCAATATGTTTCTTTGTTGGGCCAAAGCAAATTAAATGATTTGAGTATTTTATCCATAGAGAGTGACTTATTTAAAAACATACGTGTGATATTATAAATCAATGTGCAAAAGAAAAAGCTAGGAAAATAAATATATAAGTTGCTTTTGTTTTTTGTTTACTATAAATTTTGTTTTTGTTCATATAGTTTTTTAATTTTGTATGAATTTTGTTTTTGTTTAGTTACTTTTATTTTTTGTTTACTATAAAGTTTATTTTGTTTATATAGTTTTTTTTTTTAATTTTGTATGAATTTTATGTTTTTATTTAGTGTAATTAACTTTTTCTAGTTCTGACACTTTTGTAACTTATATAACCCTTCTCACTAATTGCTCTTATGAAGAAGGGCGCATTATTTTTAGTAGCCCACAGGCGCTGAATATTTTAAGACGGCCCTGCATTCCGTAAAAGAAGTATAAAAAAAGATAATCACACTATAAAAATGCAATAACTTATGAAAATAATATTGCCCAAGCAATTGCCAAACATGCGTCACTTCTCCAGGAGAAGTTCCCCTTAGCACAGTGCACGACTAAATTGTACGAAGATACGAGGGTGTGTCAATAACTCCGTAACTTTTTAAATTTACCGCGTTAAATCTCGAAAACTAAAATCACTTCCCTTAACTGCCATCGAAAGCGAAAAAGGAAAAAAGAGAACTTCGTGTTTTCATCAAGATTTTTTTTGCGAAAAACAATAATCACTTAAACGAAGTAAAGGCTTGATAAATACTATGGGGAACATCAATTTGAATAGTAAAGAAGTGGTTTACTGAATTTTGTTATGGTCTCACAAGCAAAAGTGACGCCCAATAGATGTTACTACACCAAATACAATTTTAAAAAACAACCATATGGGTTGGCAGATCAAAGATCGGAGAAGTGCAGAGAAGTGCAGAGAATTGTAGAAGCCATAATCATAACATATGTCGCAGTGGCTTTATTTTAAATAATCACTTGAGTATAAAAAAGCCGAAACGCGGTCAAAACGCGATCGCGTGACAGTTTCGAAGAATTTTTGGCTTAGTTTTGCAATCCGAATTGCTCCTTAAGGAATAATTATTCCACAGTATTGTGACAATTTTCTGTTATCAAACTTAAAAACGGCTAAGGGGAATAAGGTTCGGATCCAACAATTAAATAATTGCCCAAAAAAACGCCTTTGAGGACCTCTTCAACATCTATTTGGAAGGATCAATCAGTTGCAATAACGTAAAAAAAAAGTTTATTTGAGGTCAAAGGAGACTAGTGGCCGTGGCCATGGTTAAAATTTTTACAAATTTTTAGTAGTAGTTCCAGAGAAGTGTTCTTTAATATCATTATTATATTGAAGGGAATTGTAAGTTGCGTCGCGATCATTCAAGTTCTTAGAATCCTGGTAGGAATTTACTTACAAACGAAACAAAAAATTGATAATTCAAGCGATTTAATATGTAAATTGATTGCACCAAGGCTTTGGTTAATTACTTTTTTAAAATTATTGTAAATATACGTTTTATAATAAATATTTAAAAAATTTCAGGATCCTGGTCTGAGAATCCTGCATTTAAAACTCACTTACTATTATTATTAAAAATATTATAATTTTAAAGTTCCTGTTAAAGACTAGTAAGGTCGCACCTAACATAAATTGATACAACAAAATTTCCCAAATTTTAACATAGACTAAATTACATTTATCTATATACAGGGTGTTTCATAATATATGCGCAGGACTTCAGGATGTGATAGCTCATCCAAAAAGATGAAAAAAGTCGCTATTAACTTACCCTCTAAAATGCACAATTTTCGAGATACAGGGTGTTGAAATTTTAGAAAAAAAATCGTTTTTTTCGATTATCTCTGGAACCGTTTGTCGTACAAAAAACAGCTTTTGTAAGCATTTTCTACTCATAATAAGCTATGTTTTGTGCCAGAAATATTTTTTTTTTACTCATAATTGGTGGAGATTTTGAAGGGGTAGCGGATGATTTTCTCCTCAATTTCAACGCCCCTGAAAAATGTACGGTTTTGAGAGGCCCATTCGAACCGCCAATGTTTTCTACACAAAAAAGATACTCTTGGTCATATGCTCTTAAGTTGACCGTTTTCGAGAAAAATCAACTTTTATGTTTAAAAACATGGTCAATTTTTTGAAAAAAATTTTTTATTACTAATTAAACAAAATTGATTTTAACGTTAGAAAAAGTAACAAAACCAAAAGACAATTGCAAAATTAAAAAAAAAATAAAAAATGATTTTTTACACAAATGCTGAAATGTTCGAAATGCGTTACCTTTACGGTTTGGAGAATTTAGCAAAGACAACTTTTGAATCATTTTTTATTTTGCAATTATGGTTTGGTTTTGTTAGTTGTTCTAACGTTAAAATAAATTTTGTTTAATTAGTAAAAAAAAAATTTTTTTTTAAATTGACCATGTTTTTAAACATAAAAGTTGATTTTTCTCGAAAACGGTCAACTTTAGAGCTTATGACCAAGAGTACCTTTTTTGTGTATAAAACATTGGCGGTTCGAATAGGCCTCTCAAAACCGTACATTTTTCAGGGGCGTAGAAGTTGAGGAGAAAAACACCCGCTACCCCTTCAAAATCCCCATTATGAGGAAAAAAAAAAAATTTTCTGGCACAAAACATAGCTTATTTTGAGTAGAAAATGCTTACAAAAGCTGTTTTTTGTACGATAAACGGTTCCGGAGATATTCGAAAAAACGAATTTTTTTCTAAAATTTCAACACCCTGTATCTCGAAAATTGTGCATTTTAGAGCGTAAGTTAATAACGACTTTTTTCATCTTTTTGGATGATTTATCACATCCTGAAGTCCTGCGCATATATTATGAAACACCCTGTATATATACGTAAATAAACGATAACAAACGTTGGTTTTAGTCCATTTTCTGTTTTTTTTTTTCAGTTTCCTGGCGCTTGTCTTTCTTCAAATGACTATATATCTGAAATATTGTGACTTATCCACTTAACATAAGCTAAAAGATGTAATATCGCATATCTTAGGCTATACTTCACAATTAGAATGTCGGGCCATATAACCTGTTTTTTTTTTGCCAAGAAAGGAACCAATTAAAAATCCTCAAAAAGTTAATTTTAGTTTGTATACAGTTAAACCAAAACTTATAAACAATATTATTGCTACAATAATATGATTACTATAGTAATTCACTGAAAAGTTGGTAAGCTCGTCAATATGGAGGAAATAAAGACATTCCTCGTTGTGTGACCTATACATAAAAGAAAGTATTGTTTAGGATATGTTAACACAACCAATATTGCTCTTCAGTCGCCCTTGTAAAATTTATTCGGTAAATCGGATGACTTGAAAACCTGGAGCAGAAGCAGTAGAAAAAAGAGTTTTGGAGACCAAATGTTGCCCAAGTGGATGAAGTTGATCAAATACTGTTTGGGATTGGGCCACGGAATATTTCACATAATGTTTTATATTGTATCGCTGGCAGTTTACCAGTGCAGTGTTTAGATACCGTTGTATAGCTGTATACAGAAATACTATCTATAGATTTTACACAATATTAAAAAATGTATTATTATTGGTTTTACGAAACAAATATTTAAATCAAACTAATGGAATTTAAAAAAAAATTATCAACGTAAAATTTACACTTTTTAATAACTATAATAACCATTTCATTAAATAATTAATTTTTCTCTTGAAAATTTGTCATTCAATTTGTCCTTCTCCCTCACAAAGTTAATAATTAACTAATACACTTCCTGCCATTACTTACACATATAATATAAACATTTACTACTAATTCACACCAAATTTATTCAAATAAGCTTTGTATCCGCTGTACAAAATATAAATATATATATAAACATACACAATAAGTACATTTTAATTTATTAGTGATTAAACCGGCCGGCAACATGCGTGTTTTTTATTTGTCGTATATATTTTTACAACTCAGTATAGGTAAGCATAAATTTAGAATGTAAATATTAATATTTTCTGTTGGTATTTTGATTTTTAGAAATTCTTGGGCAAATAACCGATACTTTTACATGTGTTCCTAATGCCCAGTGTCCTGGTGGTGGAGGTGGAGGTGGCGACATAAATCCCAGAGTTGGACCAGATCTAAGAATCGTTAGCCCGACTGGAGCAACAACTACGGCGGTTGGTACTATTACATCCAATATTACACAAGTGTATAAAAAATATCGCTTAAAATTAAAATTATGCTTGTTTTTACTAGAAAAGTAAGTTGTTTAGATTAAAAAAATATTTTAAGTCGCATTTTTTATAACTAAAAGGGTCTGTTAACAGTTTAAGCCTATTATGTTTAAAACAGGGATTTTTAAAAATCTAAAAACAATTTAAATCTTATATAAATTACATTATTTAACTATTTCACCCCATTGCACAAAAATAATAATTTTGAAGGATGTTTTTTGAACAAAATATACAAAATGTATACATTTTATAAATATATATATATATATATATATATATATATATATATATTTTATATATAAATTTTTTAGTTTTAAAGATCTATTATATCCAACAATACCACGTAGGTTATTTTTAACAATTAAGTATTAAAAGACCTAAAACATGCAAAACATTATTACCATAAAAAAAATTAAAAAAATTTCGCCATTTTCTCCCACTTAAAAATATTTTTTTTTAATAGTTAAATAATTTTATTTTTATAAGATTGAAATGGTTTTTAGATTTTTTGAAAATCTCTGTTTTAAAAATAATAGGCTGTGAACAGAGCCTTTACCTCATAAAAAATGATTTAACGACATCTTAATATTTTTTATCTGAAAAAATTCATAGTGACTTTTCTAGTAAAAACACAAATAATTCCACTTTAGCGTTTAAAATATATATATAACATTAGGGTGTGCCAAAAAAACTCGAAATAGTTTTTTTCTTGCTCTCCACCCAAAATATCGTAGAATATGTCCGAACAAATATTCTGTTAAAAGCGGAGCTCATTATTTCAATTTTAAGAGGTCCCTCATCGAATCTGAAGTTTTGCCGCTTAAATACCACAGAAAACTGACCTTTTTACCTTATTTATTCTTGCAACCTAGGAAGAAAATTTTTTTTCATAAAATCCATGACCAAATCTTACAAAGCATTAAACTTGGACGAAAAAATCTTATTAAGCCAAATTTCTATTTTCATTATTTAATTTTTTACAGAGCTTTAAATTTAAAATTTTACGTTTTTTGCCTTTTTCAGCTAAACTATTGAAGTTAGACGAAAAAGTCAAATGGTAATTTTTTAGCTTGTCTGATGGACCACAAAAAAAGTTTTAGGCGAATTTTTTATATCGTCAATATTCTAAAAGTTACAGGCGTATAAAGTCATCATTTTTGTATTATTATCTTTAAATTTAAAGCTAAGTAAAAAATTAAATAATGAAAATAGAAATTCGGCTTAATAAGATTTTTTTGTCCAAATTTAATGCTTTGTAAGAATTAGTCATGGATTTTACGAAAAAAAAAATCTTCCTAGGTTGCAAGAATAAATAAGGTAAAAAAGTTAGTTTTCTGTGTTATTTAAGCGGCAAAACTTCAGATTCGATGAGGGACCTCTTAAAATTGAAATTATGAGCTCCGCTTTTAACAGAATATTTGTTCGGACATATTCTACGATATTTTGGGTGGAGAGCAAGAAAAAAAAATATCGAGTTTTTTTGGCACACCCTAATATAACATGAGTAAAAGTGGGGCTAATGCAGATGTATAGTAAATTCAAAAGGAAACGACGTACACGTCATCAATCAGCTGATCGGGCACGGTTGTCAATGTGATGCTAAAATCATTGCATCAAGTAAAAGACGTAGTGCAACTATAGGACGATGGATGGCGTTTACATGAATAATACCAAAATGTCAAAGAGTTTTTATAACTTATATGATGCACCGCCAAAATTACCTATGTTTCAGCCATTTTTAAAGACATTTTCAGGTATAAAACCCAAAAATTTTTTCATCTAAAGTCTCTGGTATATATATTCTTATTTTATGTATCCAACATATATTCTGTTAAAGATTCTAATACATAATTAATAATAATCCTATTTAGGTAAATAGTATTTACCTTACTAACTAACAGCTGTTACAGGTAACAAAGGTCCATTATTATCCCGTTCTGCCTCAAAATAGCGTATTAAGGTTGATACCAATTCTTGAGTCCGACTATTTAAATGCTTCGGCATTTTAAATATAGGAAAAACGATATATAACAAACAAAAAAAACGGCAATGAAAACTTAAACGATATAAAATAACACAAACAACAAACAAAATTATACACGAATTAAACGAAATATTCAAAAACACAACTGACAGCTTCGAAATTCTAAAACGTCAATTTCTTTTTCTATGCGTCATTTTATTAAGCAAAATTTTAATCTAAACATGACAACATTGCAATTCCTGCCAACTTAATTTGGTTAAAATATTCAATTACAGACTTCGTTTTATACATTTAGTATTGGTACCAGTGCGCAAAATTATGACGTCATCGATGACGTGTACGTCGTTTGCTTTTAAATTTACTATATGTCTGTTCTTGCCTTTTTTCCTATTTATTTAGAACGAATTAAGATCAGACATGGTTTTTCTTTTTGAAATTTTTAAACAAAGTTAGTAAACATTTTGTATAATATGTTTATTTTAAAATAAATTTTAATTTAGTTTTTTTAATGTTGATTTTTTTATTTTAGAAACGGAATACATCTTTAGATTGCTTTATTTTACAGAAATATAAAAAAACAAAAAATATTAAGACGAAAAACAGTTTATGAAAGAAACGAAAAAAATAATTTTAATAAACTTTAACGATGGCATAACGTTTTTTTTTTAACTTTGGATTAGAATTTGTCCAAAAGCTAAAATGATAGGATTTGAATTTAGCGCATCAAAAACCTTCGGAAAAGTATTTCAACAATAGGGAGTCGGTTAAATTTTGTCGACCTTATTAATTATATTATAATGACAAGTCTAGCTAAGTTAAAATAATAAAAATATGCAAAAATTATAAAGTTTTTACATATCGCACATGGGCGACAACAGTGTCATAAGTCAAAAAAACTAAATTTTGGGGTTTTTAGTGCAATAAGTGTAAAATTACTTATGCTGCTACAGTGGCATAAAAATATTTTTGAAGACAGACTTGTGTCTGTCTGCAAATCTGTCTGAAATTAAAATCCATATCATAATTTTCATCAACAGTGTCATAAGTAATTTTCCTGTAAGTTGTGACAGTAATTTTGTTAGCGTGGGTTAGTAAAGTTAAAGATGTTAACAATAAAATAATGAATAAGTGACGCTCCTCACCTAAAGGCAAGAGGTCGTGTGTCTAGGGTCTCGTTTAATGCTTTCGTACTTCCATAGTGCTACCACCGCTATAGGTGTTCAAATTTAAAAAAATCAATTAATGATTCTACACGTGATCTACCAGAAGCAAGTGCAAAAAGGGTGCAAATTGCGTGTGGCACCTCCTCCTGGATTAAGTCACAAAGTGCTCTACCTGCGAAAAAAAGTGTGAGGGAGGTGATTGGATACAACGAATAATTTTTCCTGGATTATCAACACAGAAAGAACACGTGCTAATAGTTGGCTGTCGAGGTTAAGGAATAATTTCACAAAACCTGTCAATGTCAATGCACCTGAAGTCCAAGTCTGCATAAACAGTAAACCTACCAAACTTGGATGACCTTAATAATACCCAAATACGAAAATCGCAACCTTAACTTATAAAGAACTTCGCCAGGTAAAAATTAATTAGTCGCCAACAGTTTCCTTAAGAATAGCAAGCATAGCCAAAGAACTCATAAATAAGGGCTCACATAAGCAGTCATTAAACACTCAAGTTCAGATAAGTAGAAGTACTTCAAGACCAGAAAGGATAGGTCCTAGCAGCGTACTAAAAACCAAGCCCCATTCATGAACCCCAATTGAATAGGGTAATTACTAAATACCTGGTTTAGGGGGACTCCGGATTATACTAGTTTTGGGTCAGTTTTTTCTCCCTCAAAAACCAAAATGTTTTTTCTCCTTGTCCTCACTCCACTAGCCTAAATCGGGCGTATGGCCCGGCCCGGCGACAAAATTCCGAGTGACCTTAACGATCGACACTGTCATCCACGACCTCCTAGGCAAGATTTACGAGCCGGGGTGAAAACTCGGATCCACCAACCACAGGCAATGCTGTGCAGTGGCGAGATACGTAGGAGAACTGAAAGGGGGTAAAATAACCCTGGGAAATCAGTGTAAGGCGTTGCCGATGGGGCCAGTCATACGTTCCTCATATTCATAATCAACAATAAAAGAATGAATAAATAAAAAATTGATCGACACATTTATAGCAATACAGACATATCTGCAAAATTCATGCACATATTTTCAGCAACACAGACATATCTCCAAAATTAATGCACACCTTCTTCGGCAACACAGACATATCTACAAATAGGTCTTATACAAAAAGAGTATTTTCTAAAATCTAATTTTTAACTGGCTCAGAATCTTAGTGTGGTTCTTCCTTTGCAAAGAAAATACTGTAAGTAAATATAATTTTACAAATATGTGAGAATTTTATTATTTAAAAATCTTTGACGGTCATTATCTCGGAATTAAGGTTTTACTACTTATGACACTGTTGTCGCCCATGTGCGATATGTAAAATGTCCATTGGTATATTTTGTATAAATGTAGTTTTTCTATTTGGGTATCGTAATGAGCTCATTATAAAACGCATTTGCGTGGGAGAACGTGTCACTTTTTTGAACGCAAATTATGAGGGAATTTTTTTTACAAATTTTTCAACACGATATATTATTATTATTGAAACACCAGTTAGCATCTTGTTCAAGCTATAGGCATTAAAAAAATGGACTTGTAATGCCCATTGTTGTGTATTTTAAGTAAAGTCATGTGTAAGGCGTTCTGACAGTGTCAACTTTAAAAGTTTGTTTTGTGTTTTTGCTTGAAAAGGAATTAAAAAATCGGTTTCAATATTAAAATACAAGAATGTTTTGTTCCGCATTGAAGTATAACTTATATAAGTTATAGTGTGTTATATAAGTTATTTTGACTATATTAATAATAACGATCTGATTATGCCTTTAATCTCTTTAATTTTCCAAGCGAATTATCGTCGTTATTGCTTTGTTATCAAGCTGACATTAGGTACTACCAACTGCAGAATAAATCCCTAAATCGCATTATGAATTATAATTCGACATTATTCAAAAATAGTATAAAGAACTCATCTCATATTAATTCTTTAAAATACTATTTTTACCAAATACCATTTACCAAATATAAAAAAACTGTATGCAAAAGTATTATACAATATTTTGTAGGCGCCCACGTCAACTTGTCCCCCAGGATATGTCGCTTGCACAACTCTGCCAAAATGTGGAACGCCAAGTGTTCAACCATCCACAGCTAATGGCCAAGCTACAAGGGGATCTCTACCCTGGCAAGCGTACCTAACAAACTCTGCAGGTACCTACATTGGAGGAGGAATGTTGTTGGATTCGTACCATGTTCTAACCGCAGCTCACAAGACAAACGAGTACTATTTTTGTTAATAATTTTAAGTTTTCATTGTATAATTTGTATTTTAGGTCTGGAATAATAGTGTATATGGGAGTATATAATCCTCAAACCGATCTCAGCGGCAATACAATGCGAAGCAATGTTCAAAGCGTCTCAAGATATCCATCGTACAATATCTCAACATTAAGGGACGATATTGCAATTTTAAGATTATCAACTCCATTAACAATGTCAGCTACAGCTATAGCCGGATGCTTACCAGCTGCTGGAAGATCATTCGTTGGCAATGAGTTCGTTTTTTTACTTATCACAATTTTATTTTTACTAAAATAATAATCATCCTAACCATCAAAAAATAGATTTGATACGCCCAATGAATAATATTTAACAAATTAACAAAGGGTGTTTTTTACGAACGATATAACTTTAAACTTAAAAAAACACAAAACGTAACTTTTGATAAAAATCTGTTTTTATTTAAAAGATCAACAATGACATTAATATTGAAAATCATTTGAAGCATATGGCCACCACGGAAGTTTCTGACGAAGAGCATTATGTTAGTCCAATTTTGAGTCACGATTTTGAGCAATGGTGGCCGTATGTCTTGAATCAAATGAACAATTATAGCTTTTACGGCTTCCAGTGTTGCTGGATTATTAGCATAAACCAATGACTTCACGTAGTCCCATAGAAAATAATCGAGAGGCGTCAAATCGAGACTTTGGTGGCCAGTTGACAGGTTCATTTCTTGAAATTAATTTATCACCAAATCTTGTTTGCAATAATTTGATGGTTTCGTTCGCCGTACGGCACCTAGCGCCATCCTGCTGCATCCACATCTCGTCCTGATTAATGCCATCCATATTTTGTTCCCCATTGACTGTTTCTTTAAATAGACCTCATTTTTTTTTAAATAAGGTGTAAACCGCACCAAACTACATTTTTCTTAATGCAATGGGGTTTGTATGATCTCTTCTAGATTTGCATCCCTCAATATTCGTCAATTCTGCATATTAACAAACCCGTTGAGACGAATATGTGCCTCATCGCTATACACAATTTTCGATAAAACGATGGGGCAACTTGCAACTGCTCTAAAGCCCAATCAGAGAAAGAACGACGCAAACTATGGTCTTGTTGCTTCAATTTTTGCACCAGCTGAATCTTACATGGGTGTAGACCAAGATCTTTGCGAAAAATTTTCTACGTAGTGGACGGACAAAGCCAAACTTTCGTTTACAGCAGAAATATTCTCTTCAGTACGAACATTCCTTTGACGTAATAATGTTTTTGCATCCATTAGATAGTGTGTGGTTCTAAATTTATCCACAGTACGACGATTGCCTTGTTTAGATGAAAAATTCTGTGCGCCGTAAAATTTACGATTTCGTCTTTGTGTTTCGCATATCGAGGAATGACATTCAAAGTAAATTTTGATAATTTGAAAACCTTGTTCAAGCGTGAGTCTATTCATAATGATTTGCCACACTTTACTAAATACAAATGATGCAAAATGAAAGCTAATTCCAAAGCAATTGCGATCAGAAGTTCTATCATTCTTAAAAAAACACCCTTTATTTGTTTTAGTTGTATTGTGGCTGGATGGGGCCAAACAAATTTTAACACCTATGATGCTCCAACCTCCATTCTCAAACAAGCAATCGTCCGTATAATAGATGCACAGACCTGTCTAAACTCATACAGTAATGCAAATCTGTTGGGCACAAATGCCGCCCTATATTTGGATACTCAAAGAGAAATTTGTGCTGGAGGGTCTATTAATATTGATGCGTGCACTGTAAGTAATATTTAAGATTTAATATTTTTATTTTCTCTAAAATACATTATAGTACATTAATTTTACCAAATCACCACCACACGCGAAGAGCATGTGGGCAACATACATGCTACTGGTTAATCTGTCATAAAAGGCGTGGCTTCTTAAGATTTGAAACCAATTGACCAATGAGATATTATTATTTTCATTTTTCATTTTTTCTGTAGACAGGCCGCATTCGGTTTTTAAGAGTGGGAGAGTAACTTTTAAGAGTGGGAGACGCCAAGCCTCTCAGGCCGAGAGACGGTTTTTGTAATTCAGTAGTAGACACTTCACCGGCTATGGGTGATAGTCGATGTTTGCTCTAAATTATTAATACGTATTACCCATTATTATGTTAATTTACTTTTAAAAATTATTTAGATACCTACTTAAAATGTAATGTAATCACTTTTAACAATAAATTATTAACTAAAGGTGTAAAATCAATATTTGTAAGCATAAAAAATTCTCTTTAAAAGCCTAAATAAAGCTGGATTTATAGTTGGACCTAGACGTAACGTAGACGCACTGGATACGTAAAAAACAAACTGTAAAAAAGTATTCAATTTATAAATTGACGAAACGGAATTTTTGGGCATGCGTAGTTGTGCGATGGATAACCTTTCGCACAAGGATAATTGTAATGGACGAGTGCGAGGAAACGTCTTATAAGTTAAGTACTAAGTACTATTATTTTTATTTGCCAATAGAATAGAATAATGTCGAACAAGTGGCAGCATAGTAAGACAACCCGCTGTGCACACATAACCTCTTTTGATTGGCCGGACGCAAGAAACGGAACGGAAAAGATAAAAGTTGATCAACTCTTCCGTTCCGTTTCCGTTAAGTCTGCGTTTACGTTCATTTATAAGTAAGAGTACATAAATTCTATATTTGATTTTTTTGCAGTGCGTCTATGTTACGTCTACGTTACGTCTACGTTTCGTCTACGTCTAACTATAAATCCAGCTTAATTGTCTTGAAAACAAATTAAAATAAATAAATCAATTTTCTTAAAACGAAAATTAAAATCAAACTTCTTAAAATAAATGTAAATAAATTAATTAAAAACGTTTGTTCTACTTGACGGAATAGAACGATGTGGATATTTAAGTGAGAATAGGTCTCCTGTTTGACGTAGAGAATTGCTAGTAATTTCTGGTAATTATGCATGTTTTGTTCTGTAAGTTAATTTTGTTTATCTAAGCTAGTGAGAAAACAACTTCTTATCCCACTCATGTTAAGTGAGATAAGAAGTCCATTAACGCACGCGTTTTTCTTATCTCAATGATTTTTAAGCAATCAAATAAAAAAGGCAAAATCTTTTAAATTTAATGTAACAATACAGCTTAATTATTTATTATAAATATTAATAACACAATCTTCCAAATGAATAAAAACCTTGGATAAACTGCTAAAGTATGACAATAATACCTTCTCATATGCCAAACTGCGAATCTCTTTTTCTGTCTGAATCGTCGATATATTTCAAATGAAAATGCGGTATACTCACTTTTTCTGTACACCATTTTTCATATTTGGCGTATTTTGACTTAGATTTTTCCGGCAACAAACCGGAAATAGCTTTTAATGCTTGTTCTTCAATATCAGATGGCAAACTTTCCGAGTCATTTTTATTACTAGAACATTATTTTTGACTTATTGTTAATGACAACATTATCGTTGATAAGAAAAACAAATGTATCGAAAATCGACATGTAGGGAGTGGCGGAGAACAATAGCCCTAAATTAAGTCTTAGACAAAAATTATAATTACCGTATATTTTTTCATTTAGATGCGTAGATAAAAATTTGTACAATATACGTGTAATAACGCTTTATTAACGTATTTCTGCGATTGCAATTTCGCATGCATACGTTAATAAAGCTCTTATTCCACTTATATCGCAAATAACTACCTATTGTAGTTATTTTTGCTTTAAGAATTTATTGCTTTAGGAAATTTTTGTTTTGAAACATTAGTGTTGAGTAAATAAGACTAAGAGCTCGAACTTCTGACACCAAATTCGAATTCAGCGTACCAAAATGCTTTAGAAAACTCAACTCAAAATTTCTAGTTAAATTGTTTTATAAATTTTTGGAGCAATGTTATTTATTTCATTTAGAAAGACGGAGGATCACCTCTTATGTGCAACGATGGAACAAAATATGTAGCTGCAGGTTTAGTAATATGGGGTAAAAACTGTGGAATGCAAAATGTTTATGGTGTTTATGTTAGTGTTCCAAGTTATCGCTCTTGGATTGACTGTGTTGTAAGAGCTTTTAACTCGAACCAAGTGCCAGTATGTTATTAAGACGTTATTTAGATAATAAAATATAATAAAACTATTAATTGTGTTATTTGTTATCCTTAAATATATATATATATAGTAAATTCAAAACGAAACGACGTACACGTCATCAATCAGCTGATCGGGCACGGTTGTCAATATGATGCTAAAATCATTGTATTAAATGAAAGTGGTAGTGCAACTACAGGGCGATAGATGGCGTTTATATAAATAATACCAAAATGTCAAAAGTCAGAGTTATTATAACCTATATGATGCACCGCCAAAAGTATGTTTCAGCCATTTTTAAAGACATTTTCAGCTATAAAACTCAGAAATTTTGCCATCTAAAGTCAGTCTCTGGTATATATATTCTTATTTTATGTATCCAACATATATTCTGTTAAATATTCTATAATATAATATATAATTAATAATAATCCTATTTACCTCTCTAACAGCTGTTAAAGGTAACAAAGGTCCATTATTATCCCGTTCTGCCTTAAAATAGCGTATTAAGGATTATACCAACTCTTGACATCGACTATTTAAATGCTTCGGCTTTATTTATAGGAAAAACGATATAAACTGCGCACCACTCAATGTGTCGCGACCAAAAAGTTCGTCCTTTTTTAAAACGACATAACTTTTTTGTTTCTTGAACGATTTTATTTTGGTCTGTGATGTCTGCTAACCCCATCCTCTGGCAATTCATTCTATAGATATTAAACACACGGTTCTTCAAGTAAATTTTCTACAGGGTGATATGTAAAACGGTGAAAAATTTCAATAATTTCATCCAAGCCCCGTTTGTAAAACAATAATTTTTTTTTCGTTTTTACTTTGAAATAATGAAGTATTATGTGTTACCTTGAATTGTTTTTCAAATTTTTCGAATTGGTATCTTAGCAACGAAAATATGATTTTTTTTCCAAAAGAGTACATTTAAGACTTTTTGGTAGGGAATATACTCAGTCTTTTTAAGAACAAGAAAATAAGATGGTAAAAGATTGTTCCTTGAATAATTCTGAACAAGCGACAAGCAACAAACTTCCATTATTTTCAGAGGGGCCTAAGCAAAGACCACTTTTTCAAAATGACATTTTGGTGAAAATTTGCGAAAACTAAACCTGAACCGATATTTACGTTCGAGACATGTTTTCTTTATAATTTTGACCTCCTGATTGTGATTCAAATTTAAGTTTCAGATAAAACCAAAATCATCAAGAATCAAAATTCTAAAACAATTCCCTGTTGTTAAATGTCTTAATAAAATCCGATTGCTGTCGTGTTTCTTGCATATTTATGATAAAATTTGGGGATTCATTTTTTGGGAGAAATTACTGCAATTTGTTTGAGTGGTTAGGATAATGTTACATAACATACATTTACATTGAGCAGTAGTGATAAGTACATAATTGGTAATAAAGTTAAATACAAATATTTTTGTTCATTTTTGAAAATTGTATGCGTAGATATAATCATAATCAAAACTTCAACATTCAACAGAAAAATGTAACAAACAATAACAATAATACCTTTCAATATTTCGTTGGCCCTCCCCTAAGCCGTAATAATTCGTTAACCCTCCTGGGCATTCCCTCGACCAAGTTCCTTAGAAATTTCTGGGGTACCCCATTCTTCCTGAATAGCATTTACCAATTCATCCAAATTTTTTATGCCTCCTTCCCTTTCTTTCATCTTCAATTTTATCCTGCTCGACACATGCTCAATGAGATTCATATCCGGAGACAAATGTGGCCAATTCATTTTCTCAATATGGTGGTCCCTTAAATACTCATTTACTATATGTAAAAAAAACAGTAAAAACCAGCAATCGGATTTTATTGACACATTTAACAGCCAGGAATTGTTTTCGAATCTTGATTCTTAGTGATTTTGGTTTTATCTGAGACTTAAATTTGACAACTGAATCACAATCAGGAGGTCAAAATTATGAAGAAAACATATTACGAAAGTGAATATCGGTTTAGGTTTAGTTTTTGCAAACTTTCACAAAAATGTCATTTTCAAAAAGTGGTCTTAGCTGAGGCCCTCTAAAAATAATGGAAGTTTGTTGCTTGTCGCTTTTTCAGAATTATTTAAGGAACAATCTTTCACCATCTTATCTTCTTGTTCCTAAAAAGACTGAGTGTATTGCCTTAAAAAAAGCCTTAAATGTACTCTTTTGAAAAAAAAATCATATTTTCGTTGCTAAGATTCCAATTCGAAAAATTTGAAAAACGTTTCAAGGTAACACATAATACTTCATTATTTCAAAGTAAAAACGAAAAAAAAATTATTTTATTACAAACGGGGCTTGGATAAAGTTATTGAAAATTTTCACTGTTTAACATATCACCCTGTAGGAAATTTACTTGACCAACCGTGAGATTCATATCTATAACATAAATTGCCAGAGAATGAGGCTAGTAGACATCACAAACCAAAATAAAATCTTTCAAGAAACAAAAAAGTTATGTCGTTTTGAAAAAGAACGAACTTTTTGGTCGCGACACATTGAGTGGTGCGCAGTTTATAACAAACACAAAAACGGCAATGAAAACTTATAACGATATAAAATAACAACAAACAAAATAAACGAAATTATACACGAATTAAACGAAATATTTAAAAACACAACTGACAGGTTCGAAATTCTAAAACGTCAATTTCTTTTTCTATGCGTCATTTTATTAAGCGAAATTTTAATCTAAACATGCCAACATTGCAATTCCTGCCAACTTAATTTGGTTAAAATGCATTAAAATATTCAATTACAGACTTCGTTTTATACATTTAGTGTTGGTACCAGAGCGCAAATTTATGACGTCATCGATGACGTGTACGTCGTTTTTTTTTAAATTTACTATATATATATATATATATATATATATATATATATAGGGTGTCCCAGAATATGTGGGCAATCTCCCGGATTTAGATATAACACATAAAAATAATATGACAAGTTTCTATAATTTTTTTTTCCTACGGAGATACTGGCCCATAACGGACGCCCCTGGTTTTTTTTAAATAACTTTTGAAGTACAAGGCAGAATTGAATAATTTTTAAATATATTGTTTACTAGGAAAGTTTCCTTAAAATGGGCACTAGCTCTAACAGAGTAATGCTATTTTTTTTAACACCCTGTACTACAAAGGCACAACAATAATATAAGCTTAAACCTTAAACTAAAAATAAAGGTAATCCTGATCGGCATCGATAAAATGAAATTTTTACGAAAAAAAAAATGTTTTTTTGCATTGTTTTTTTTTTGACATTTACCGATTTAAATAATCATTTGAAAATAGTGTTTTTAAATTTTCGACCCTTTTTTTTCTTTCCAGGGGCATCCGTTATGGGCCGGTATCTCCGTAGGGGGCCCCCTCTCCTAGGGAAAAAAATTATAGGAACTTGTCATATTATTTTTATGTGTTACATCTAAATCCGGGAGATTGTTCACATATTCTTTGACACCCCGAACAGTAGTATATATACAGTGTGTCTACTAAGTTGGCAACATATGGGAAACTTCTTTATTATTAATTTTATGAAAAAAAGTTATTTTTCATAAAAAGTTCTGCATGTTCTAAAATCTAAAATACAATTATCAGATAAAAAAATGTCAGTTGTTTGTCAAAAAATATTAATCTTCCTCAAGAGTAAAGTACCTTTATATTTGACAATGTCAAATTCTTATAAAAAAAATTGATCAGAACTAAAAACTACTTCCATTTATATGGAAAAAATCATTTTTAATTTTGCAATAACAATGCAAACGTAATCTAGGATGCACTGATAAACAAATGATTTGTTGATAGCAAGAAATGTTTGACATTGAATGTCAAAACAGCAGAATTTGCTTATTACTTTCTGACCGAAACGTTCATCATGTTCATCATGTTAATAAATAAAAAAGATAAATGTTCGGTATCGGTAATTTGAGAAAAATTTGTAAAAAAAATTGTTGAGGTAGAAGGATGTAATTGTATATTAAAACATAGTTTTTCATTTCGAACAACTTTTCATAATTACAGTTTTTGATATTGTCACAAATAAAGGTACTTTACTCTTGTACCATATTCATATTTTTTGTCAAACCTCGTATATGACTGAAAAAATGATATCTGATGATTTTATTTTAGATTTTAGAACATTCAGAACTTTTTATAAAGAATAACTTTTCTTATTAAAGTTAATAATAAGATAGTTTCCTCATATGTTGCCAACTTAAGTAGACACACTGTATTTATATATGTATATAGTAATATAGTAATCCACTCAATATACAACGTCAACGCCAACGTCAATATATTGTTTAAAATTATACAATTTCTAATAAAACCTCACGGGTTGCTTTGACAACTGCAATGGTTATTTTTGACACATCAATAAGTAGGGCCAAAAGCTTAAGCAATATTTTGCACTTTAAATATTATTTCAATAGTTTATTGACTGCATTATTGTTTTGCGCATCAATATTTTCTCCGTGTATGATGAGCTATGGTTTCTACTAGAATGATTCTCTAGGCTTAAAAATAAAAACAAAATTAGATTCAAATAATAATAAATAAAGAACAACTTTAATTTACGCTTTATGGGGCATCCATTAATTACTTGAGGTGTTTAGGGGGGAGGGGGTCGAGCCAAACCTCACCTAATCTCACGTGGGGGGAGGGTGGTCTCGGCAAATATCACGTAATTTTTTTCCAAAAGAAACAGTGTAAAATTGGAATCAAGCACAGTTTAACTTATTTACATTAAAACTATATGCATATATGCATATATGCATTTACAAAAATCTCACGTGAGATTAAGGGAGGGGGAGGGGGTCGAGCAAAATGACATCTTACCAAGGGGAGGGGGTCGAAAAATCGCCAAAATTACCTCACGTATTAATGGATGCCCGTAACATAAAGTTTGGAAAAAAATTAAATTGATTTCTTAATGAGTATGTATGAGTATGGGGACGTATGGCAGGCCCCATCGATATCACCTTACACTAATCTCCCAGGGTTATTTTACCACCTTTCCGTTCTCCTACGTATTCCG